GCTGGGCTACTAAGAGTTACGAATCGAAGGGTTACAGCCGGGCCGCCGCTGGGCCGCCGCTGGGCTGCCGCTGGGCTGCCGATGGGTTACGAATCGAAGGGCTACCGCCGGGCTACCGCCGGGCTACCGCCGGGCTGCCGATAGGTTACGAAACGAAGGGGCTGCTGAGGGGCAGCTGCTAGGTAGCTGCTGGGCAGCTGCTGGGCAGTATACGTTAAGGGGCGTGCTAGCCCTATTACTGAAGTTAATACATGTCTAAGGGACATGTATAGAGACGTCTAAGTAGGGAGGCCTTACTAGCTGGGCCCTACTAGCAGTAATAGGGAGGCCACTAGGGTGGTATACAGCAGGGCTGTACCTAGTGTTGCTCCTTAACGGATAATAGACCTCTGGATAATGGACCTCTGGATACTGGACCTCTGGATACTGGACCCCTGGATACTGGACCTCTGGATAAGCAGCGGGATAGCTGCTAGGCCGCTACTAGGCCATAGCCTTGAGGACAAGGCTACTAAGGGGGGGGAAGAGTGGCTGCAGCGGAGCAACGAAGACACTTACTTGCTAGCGTAGCAAAGCAAGCTAGCAAATAAGAGGCTGAGGCAGCGGAGCGGCAGACACCAACAGATAGGCTCCGGGCAGAGCAACGGATAGGCTCCAGGCAGAGCAACGAATTGGCAACGGATCGGCATTAGGTAACGGATCGGCACCGGGCTACAGATGGGCTTTAGGCGAAGTAATGGATGGGCACTAGCGGAGCAACGGATTGGCACTGGGCAACGGATGGGCTCTGGGCAGAGCGACGAATTGGCAACGGATCGGCATTGGACAACGGATCGGCATTAGGTAACGGATCGGCATCAGGCAACGGATTGGCACTGGGCAACGGATGGGCTTTGGGCGAAGCAACGGACGGGTATTAACAAAGCAACAGATAGGCTCCGGGCAGAGCAACGGATGGGCTCTGGGCAGAGCAACGGATGGGCTCTAGGCAGAGCGACGAATTGGCAACAGATCGGCATTAGGCAACGGATCGGCATTAGGTAACGGATCGGCATCAGGCAACGGATCGGCACTGGGCAACGGATGGGCTTTAGGCGAAGCAACAGATAGGTATTAGGCAACAGATAGGGCATTGGGCAACGGATAGGCATTAGGCAACGGATAGGCTTTAGGCGAAGTAACGGATCGGCACTAGTGGAGCAACGGATAGGCTTTAGGCAGAGTAATAGGAGGGTAGCCCTGTAAACGGCACTACTCTTCCTACCGTACGGCGGAGGTTTAATAAGGGTGACAGGGGCTAGGGTAATAACAGGGTTAGGAATAGCTTTACTAAGCCATAAGGGCATGGCTTATAAGGGGGGGGAACGTGTCAGGGGCCTGACAGGGGATCACCGGTAGAGCCCTATTAGTCATCCGGATGAGGGATAAAACCCCTATCTAGGCCCACAATAGTTACAGTTAGCAGATTCGAATGTGTAAACAACAACAACCTACCTTTAACTATCGCTAAGTGACCCCTATCGCCGACTTCATCACTTGGACCGTATGCCTCTGACATCTCTTTAAGGAGTTCCTTGTTTATAATCTCTAGCTTAGTGTTAGTTAGTAGACAATACCTAGTAAATAGGACGTTTGTAATATAGGCCTAGATCTAGGTGTCGCGCTACTTAACTGCCTATGCCTAGAGGAGGGCAGTAATCTGTTCTCTATTCTCTAGTAGGACTTTTACGCTATCTACTAATAAAGGTAGGAGTGCTAGTCCTATCTTAATATAATTAATTCCTTTAAGAGCTCCTTAGGCTTAGGGACTTAGCTTTTCTTAGATAAAGGCGTATATGTTGTAGGCTCTCTTGTTATAGAGCGGGCTTTTAAGTAGGAGATACGTAAAGACGTGTAGGTCTTTTAAGGCTGCCTAGTTTACGGCTTGTTTTACTAGTGTTAATTTATCCTGCTTTCTAGTAGGTAGCTGGCTTACTACTATTACATAGGACTAAACTAGGGGCAGCTAGTTCTAGGCTGTGTGTAAGGGATACCCTTAGAGACTTAAGGCAGACTTGCTAGGTTCTATGCTACTAGTATGTATAGACCTTACTAGACTACGTTACTACTAGTCTAAACGCTGCTTTTCCTCCTAAAGCTCTCTTTCTAAGGATTTAATCTTCTTTAGGTAGTCTTTTAGGAACTATTCTCTCTTAGTATCCCGTCGTAGGAGGTCCTAGATAAGATTTAAAAGCTTATTAATCTTATCCTTAAGCTTGGTATTGTCCTAGTAGCTGACTTACTTAACTACTCTGACCTTTATGGTTGGTTTCTAGACACGTCTAGACCGTTAAGATGTACTGGCGTCTTTATGAACCGTGATCGATGGCCTAACGTCTAGAGAGACGGCCATGGTAGTGGAATTTAGCTTGTGGGGCTAATGATGGGAAATGATAGTGCGATAGGCCGGAGCCCCCTATAGTCTTAACAGCTACTAACAGTAGATACCTTGTGAAAAGACAGTCGACTTAGGCCTGACGATGAGCTTGACAAGATCTGGGGATTCTTCGGGTGGGTCCTGCGGAGTGATCACCTTATCTTATTATCACGTGACTTGTCCATAGTTCTTCTGTTTCTGGGGAGTTATCCTTCTGTTGTTCGTATAAAGGTTATGGTGCCCGTTGGTTGTCTTGTTAGGTGGGGCAACATTGCCTGTAACTTGTTGGGTCGTAACACTCAGCCCTTATATGTGGGTTGGTCCCGGACTACCCGGTTAAATATACTTATTACATATAACAAGAGGCTGTTTGTATTTTAGTCTTATAATATATCTATACCTATGTTACGACCTTACTAGATATATATGTACAGCTAAGTCTCTTATACTACACTTTAGTGATACGCTCCTTATAAATATTAATTTCAGGGGCACCGGCTCTTGAATAGGCCTAGCGCATGTACTAGACACCCCTCGAAATCTGGGTCACGTGATCACATCCCGGGAGTGGGTCCAGCCCCGCCAAAAACCTTAACAAGGCCTAGAGCCGTAACGCCGGCCAGCAAAGCTCAATAGGGCGACCCATTCAGCGCGTAGGAAGAGGACAGCCAAGACAGGCGCCTCTGTGTAAGCCTAGAGGGGAGAGAGCGCTTGATCGAAGACGGCAGAGCAGTATAAGCCCGCGCGGCAGGTCATTTCATTGCAGAGGGACTGCGCACCCATTACAATACAGTACTACCTATAGGCGTAGTCAAGAGCGTCTTGTTTGTGGTGCAACTCTACGCTGAGACTCGCTACGTCTCTGAGTAGACAGACCTGTACGGAGTAGTTTGAAGCCGAAAGTGGGCGTCAAAGTATGTCTATAATTGTCCCTGAGTGTTGATATGAGACAGTCAACGTTACACAGTGTATCACCCACCTACTGTGGGCCCTTGTTATACTATGTATTTTGTATCAATATGACTAGCGTCAGTTATTAATATATATTGACTCCACCTATATTACTTCCTGATATCCTAAAATGCCATTTAAGGGGTTATAAAAAATACCTTTGTCGGTAGATTTCTTGCTTAATAGTAGAGCTTTCATGTTGATGGGATAGTAAAATAGTATCTGGACTATCTTGGCCTTAGTATACTAATATGAAACAAGCTACTATTGAATAAGTAGTATCATAACTATTTTACTGTGTCTATCTAGCTATATCTCTCCCTTAAATAAAGGGCACGAATCCCCTCTCCACGTAATTGACATCATAACAACATCTTCTCTATAACCACATCTACCTCCTCTCTCAGTATTCGATCCCGTCCTCTTCTTGTCAACACTGTTCTGATTCATTGCCATCATGCGCGCTTTTATCCTTTTCACCCCTCTATCTCTTCTAGCGGGCCTAGTCACTGCTGGCCCACTAGCTCAAAGTCTCCAGAGTAGAGAGTCGGGCTTTCTCTGCTGTAATGCCGGCGTAGCAGATCCGTCCAACTCCTGCAAAAGCAAAGGCCAAAACTCTTTCTGCGTACGCTCCTGTTTTCTGACTAAACTAGAAAAAGCTTATATGTATGTGTTACTGACAATGTCATAGTGTAGCGGCATTCCCGCCGACCAAGGGTCAGGGTGCGACATTTTTCCAGACAGTTTCCCAACAGGCCGTAACGTCTTGAGCGCTGCTCAAGAAGTCGACTGTGAAGTCAATGAATTCACCTCTAGTTGTAACATTGGCTGCAGCTCTGGCGGCGCTGGCGGCGGACAGGGATTCATTGGATGCGCCTAAGGCATAGTCAGTAGTAATTACAATGATGACACCACCACCCGTAGGCCATGAGCTACTCCCCATCGTTTGCGTGAGCGAATGAGCGCCTGCAGCGATCAGCCAATTGCTATCACATCGGGGTAGTACAACATCGTACTTCTTTGATCAGTAAGCAGCCTAGTCTATGACTGATAAAGATAACCGGTCTGCGAGTGGCTTGCCTGATATCAGCGAAAGTTCGATACTTACCCTCATCTACCGAACACGGCGACTATAGTATGGTCGGATGAGAACCACACCAAGATAAAAGTGGAGACAATGAAGACTAGGGGTATGGTCGGTTGTTTTCCATCAGAGTATAGTCGGTAGAGCATACCGGTAGGAGAACCACGCAAAACTAACATTTATAGAAAGCGCAGATTAAGAAGAGTAAGTGACCCTATTTTTAGAGCAAGTAATAACCTCTATTTCTATGCTTTTTATTACTGAAATTCTAGGAATACATTTTGATGTGGTCTTGAAGAAAGGCGCATAGACCACCCCGAGGTCGTTACACTAGAAAAGGATAGCTTATATAATCTAGAAAACCATCCTATAGCCATAGCAACCTCAGATATTTACATCACGATTCCATTAAAGTAGACAGCTTAACAACCATAGACCTATTTGTTTATAACCCCATCTTCTCTATTGCTATATGTAAGGAATGTCAGTTTGCCGTAGTTGCTAACAAGGTAACAACACATCTCCATACAAGGCATAAATCTCTCTCAGCTGCTAAGCGTAAGAACATTGTAGAGGCTGTACAGGCATGCCCCGGCATCATCAAGAGCCAAGGCAGCTTAGTATCGCTCCAGCTGCCGGAGCCAACATCAAGTCCAATCAAGCATCTTGCCCCCCCACAGCGCGACGGGCTCAAGTACACAACGTGTGGCTACGTCTGCCGACGTCTTAAGGTAATGCAGAGACACTGTCGTGAACAGCACGGCTGGGTGAACGACTGGAAGAAGGGAGGCAACGTAAGGAGGAAGGCAGCCAAGCCCAGGAAGGCGGCATAGGTCAATGGGGTTTTATGCCAGCGCTTCTTCCCGACGCAGGCCGGCCGCCGCTGGTTCCAGGTCAGCCAGAGAGAGGAGGCAGATGGGGGTATTCACAACAGGCCAACAAGGACTCCAGCACACGACATCATCACACAGATTCGCCAAAAACAGGCCGAACAGGCCAGGGCTTAGGAAGACGACGTTATCCACAACGTAAACGATAAGCTGGACGCGAACTCGTGGGTGAAACACGTTCAATGGGCAGAGCACTTGGAAGGGCGGTCTATAAGTAAGCTCCAGGAAACGACCGAGCCGATCACGGAGGAGGAAGAGGTGCTCCAGGCCATGTGGACAGTGACAGAGAGGGTCTTACATAAGGCGCGCACTATCTCAACCCCCCACCAGGTAGGGAACGCAGTATTATTCGAGGTGCAGCCGAAGGAGGCACACGTCAAGCCAGCCAGGCCGTTCGACAACCGGTTAGAAGATCAGACGTAGGAGCGGTACAAGGGTGTCTGGCAGAAGCTGCTCTGCATATGGAACCGCACGCAGGAGATGGCCGAGGACGAGCGGCCGCCGTATCGGCTGACGGCGAGGCAGGGCGAACTGTGGGACCACTTCGAAGCCGTCGTGCAGAAGGAGGGGGCACTTGACGTCAGGGAACCAGACGACGCACCAACAGAGGCAGAGCGGGCCGCACTCTAGATGCTTATCGGTATTCTAGACCACCCGATCCGGCGAGGCGACTACCAGAACATCTTAGTCAGCGCGCTTGCAGTGATGGGCATCAGCGAAGACGGCGGCTGGGTGAAGGTCAACGACTACACAACCGACTACTCAGCCGTCGTCAAAGTAAGCCGGATGCTTGTCATATACCAGTCTGCCGTCGAGAGGAAGGGCGCTGTGGCAGAGAGGGCAAAAGAGATGGGCGAGGAGGCGGCCAAGGACGAGGTCCGCAGCATATTCCAGTAGACCTGGCGAACCGCACCGCTTTGGTAGGGTTAGGGCCAGGCGGAAGGAGGCATATATATATATATAGGAGGAGAGGAGAGAGGGGGGGAAGAGGGACTAGACGACAGGCCACAGCCTGGAGAGAGCAGGAGTAGGTAGGTAAGTAGGTAGGTAAGACCATACAAGTCCCATAGCAGACGGACAGACCAGGCCGCCATACCGGCTTCTACCTACCTACACACCATACCATATCCATCGCATCTATCCATCTACCGGCAAGCAGGCAGGCCACTTCCTAGGTAGTCAACAGCCTTAGCAGCAGTACGCCAGCAAACCTGCACGTCTTCTGACCGAAGCTATGTTTGACCTTGGACGCCGAAGACGTAGGATCTTGGTACTCAACACTCCCGATAGGCTGGAGTAAGTTGATCTCTGGACCGTCCTTCCGGTAGGTGTAGAGGTCATTATATGCTTCCTACCTTATAAATTGAACGAGGTTACGTATAGAGGATGAAGGACCGGGTAAGAGGAGGAGAGACGGTATGAAATAAGGAAATACGGGATAAGAGGAGGAAAGACGGGACGGAACAAGGAAGGAAGGGGCGTATTATAAAGAACAAGGCCCTGCTTGCCGCCAGCCCGTACGTCATCCGACCTTATCTACAGGGCTCTGTAGCGAGGCGGTTCCTTCTCGGTTCCCGAGGTTGTAAGTTAGCGTAATATCGTCGGATATTAACACGGCAGTGAAAGTAACGCGCCGCCGGCAGTTAGGTTACGTAACAAGTAGGAAGTTCCCACATCGCCAATCGAACGAGGTTATATGCAGAGGAGGAAGGATCGGGTGAGAGGACGAAAGACGGGATAAGAGGAAGAAAGATAAGATAAAATAAGGAAAGACGGGACGAAATAAGGAAGGAGGGGACGTGTTATATAAACCAGGACCCTGCTTACCGCCGGCCTCGGTAGCTGACCATTCGAGCCCCGTACGACGGTAAACCCGCACGTCTTCTAGCCGCCGAAGACGCGGGATATTAGTACCCAGCACTGCCGACGGACCGGAGCATACTGATCTCTAGACCGTCCTTCCGGTAGATCTAGAGGTCATCGTATGCTTCCTAACGAGGTTGCATACAGAGGAGAAAGGACCAGATGAGAGGAGGAAAGACGGGGTGAGAGGAGGAAAGATAGGATGGAATAAGGAAGGAAGGGGCGTATTAGAAATAGGAACCATTCGGGTCAGAGTTAGAAAAAAAGCTGTGAACTGAAATAGATTGTCTTATAAACTAAAATATCAGTACTTTCCGTTTACCGGGAAATGGAAAGAAATTCTATTTATAGAAACCGACGTATTACGTTTATATAGAAACGGAAATACAATTAGAAGTAACGTGGTTAATAAGTAAGTGTCGCAGACAAGCGAGTGTCGCACGCCCCAGCACCTCTAGCACATTATATAGGAGATATTAGCAACAAAACAATTAAATTAATTAAAACTACTCGGAATCCTCTTCTACAGACACTTCCTTATTAAACTAATATGTTTGCGTATTATGACCAGTGTTCCCGCAGACGCCACATCGCCGTTAGCCCGTCTCAGTCCTTAGTTAACGACCACTACTCCGACGCGTTTTGTCCTTAATCTAAGCTGTCACCTCTCTCTATGATTAAAGGTCCTCTCCTTTAGCTACAGTAAGACTTCCTCCTTGTTGCAGGCGGGTTTTCTTAGCTCTCTGGCGCCAGCTTAGTAGGTTATTTTCCTCTTAAAGGATCTAGACCTTGAACCTTAATAAGGCAATCTGGTGTATAAATCCGCATGCCCCCTTTAAAAGATGTTCTATAGCTTTAATAATTAAGGTTAGTGAACTACTTTAATAACAGGAGATTCTCCTTTTAATAAGTTTAGACTAAGAAGATACTTCTGTTAGGTTATTTAGTGTCTAAGAAGTCTATAGAGAGGGCGTTATTAGGAGGGATCCTAGAGGAGTTAGAGTATACAGCTTTATATTAAGCTTAGAAAGTACGCTTTTTACACTTAGAGAGATAAGTCTAGCCCCTCTTAAACCTCCCTAGATGTTTTTTTCTATAGTTACTTTTATAAAAGCCTTATAAAATATAAGGAAGAAGTCCTCCTTTATAATATAGGTGTTACCCTTACGTATCTTCTTCTTAATTTCTTAACTATACGCTGTTTTTAAAGGCCTAAAACATCTAATATCTAAGGGCTAGAGTAGATAAGATAAATAAGGTTGTATATAGAGAGTAATAATATTATTCTCTTTATAAAGTAGTTTAAAATTAGTAAAGTAATAACTTTTATAGCTATTAATAATAAGAAGGTAATATTAACCTTTTATATATAGTTTTATATACTAGTTAAAGTATTATAGCTAATCTAGGCCTTTTTTATTTATTATATATCTATTTTTAGATATTATAATAATCTAATTAACATATATATATAGTAAGTAGCCTATTATAGTAAGTAGCCTACTTCCTCTTACTTTTCTACCTTTTATATAAGTTAATTAAGCTATAATATATAAAATTAATTAAAACTACTTATTACTATCTTCTTTATTACTATTCTAAACTACCTTATAGGTTTATATATTATATCTAGTCTTTTTATAATTACTATATTATTATATATATAGTTTACTACCCTTTATATAAGCCTCCTTTTAAGATATTTTCCTACCTCTAGCTTTAACACCTTTTTTTTCTCCTTATAGTGCCTCTACTTTAGTTATATTAAGTAACCCTTTAAGACGTAGCTAGGTCTTTTAAGCCCTCTAGCGCTTACTTAGTATATCTATTTATATATAAAGTCTAAGGTTCTTAGCCTTAATAAAAGTAAGTCTATATACTAACTTACTAATACCCTTAGCTTAGAGGTTAATTACCTTATATATTAGTATTAGTAAGCTTCCTTAATAACCCTAGATCTTTTTTTTTAGTAAACTAGTACTTTATATACCTTTTAGTGCTATAGTTAGTATCTTTAGGTCCTATAAGCCTAAGCTAGTTAAATATAAGCTAAAAGGTATTAGTATATTTAGCTTATAATCTAGGTAAGAAATAACTACTTTAAGGTTAAATAGTATAAGGCTAGCCTATCTAAAGCTAGCTTATACGTTTTTTTCCCTTATTAAAGTAAAAAATACTACTTTAAAGGTAAAAAAGAAGTTATTTTTTATAATATATAAAATCTATATCTATATTATCTTCTTAATTTCCTTACTATATAAAAGCTTTAATAAGCTAAAATAACCTATATTAAGAGGCTAAAGCTTATATAATAAATAAGGAGGTATATATAAAGTAATAATGTTTTATTTTTTATAGAAATTATTAAATTTAGTTAACTTATAGCTATTATAGCTATTAAGGATTAGAAGTTAATAAGTACTTTTTATATAAGACTTTATATACTAGTTAAAATAATTTAACTAATTTAAGCTAATCTTATTTATTATTTATCTATTTTTACTTAACTAAATATACTATTTAGCTAGAAATTAGCTATTTTAGTACTAAGAGAGAAGGTAATATTTACTTTTTATAATAATATATAAAGGTATTACCTAGCTATTTATATATATACCTTAAGTAATAAAAACCTATTCTTAATTACTAGGCTGCTTTATATAAAGCCTTCTCTTATAATTAGAGATTATAATAACCTTTATATATAATAGTATTCCTATTAAGAACCTAGTCTTATTAAAACTATAAATATTATAATCTTATATCTTATACTTTATAATTATATTTTATATAAGTATAAACTAGCCTTATATAATTATAAGATCCTTAGCTAAGGCTTTATAATACTTAATTTAATATTAAAATTATATTTTTAATTAAGGTTATTATTATATAAAGCTCTCTACTTATTAAGGTCTAACACACGTTATGTTATATATATTTAGGAGTTAGTTAGCTATATCTTATACGTCCTCTTATTATAAAAAAAACCCTTAATTAATTAGGTTAATAACCCTCTTAAGAATTACCTCCTCCTTAACTTCTATTATCTTCTTTAAATTTAGATATGTCTTATCTTATGTAACACGTCTAGTAAGTTAGTAATAAAGTAAGGATTAAGGGACCTTAAAGATAGTAGCTACGTTTTATATAGACATTTTTAGGTTGTTTTTAATAGCTTAGATAGTAAAGATAATACGGCTTTTAATTAAAGAAGATTATATATTTATATATAGAGAAATACTAGTGTAAAGGTTAAAGAGAAAGAAAAGATAAAAGATAGGCTACTTACTATAATAGGCTACTTACTATATATATACGTTATATTTATTAGTAGCTAGAAATATAAAAAAACAGACTCTTAATCCTTATTTAATAATAAGAAGGACCTTAATACCTCTTTTAGATATAATAATAACTAGACCTAATAAGATTATAAGCTATAGTAATAAAAAGTTAATTTTATTATCTTAATCTCCTCTAGAGGTAACCTTTTATAATATAGTTACTTTAAAAGATATAAGCTATCTATAGATTAAATGCAGCTAAGTATTAGGTAATATAGACTACAGCCTGGCTAAAAAGCCTTTAGTAGTAGACTTTAATAAGCGTAAGAACTTACCTAAGCTTGCGGCTTAGTCTGCTAGCTATCTACTAGTCCTATTACCCTTACTACTATCTAAGAGTTTTAATACTTTAATATTTCCCTTACACCTAGGTCTATAAGCTGCTAAAAATATAGCTAACCTAGCTATCCCTTAAAATTTAACTAAGAATATATTAACTATTAGCTTAAAGACCTTAGCCTAAAAAAGCACTTTACATAATATAAAGTAGCTACCTTAAGTAAGTTAAGTAGCTAATAATAACTTTATAACTTAGCTATAATATAAATAATTCCTTCTATCTAGTAATATAGAAGTTAGAGAGGCCTTAGGGTCCTTAAGACAGACTTCTAAAACGTTTAGTATAACATAACGTCTAGCTATAGCTAAATATAGACTACTATATTTTAGTTTAGTACCCCTAAGTAA